TCCGCCAGTTCGTTTTCCACCAACGGGAACTCGATGCCGGCACCGCCTAACCTCTTCCGAACAGCCGCAACCGCTGACGAAAAGAAGAAACGAGCTAAACCTGAAGCTTCTCGAGTAAAAGTGGTGGAACGCCATAATCGGTGAAAGAAGCGGCGAACAAACTCCTCGATGAAGCGAAGACCCTCGGGCGACCCCGGGAACAACCTTTGCCCCTCTTTCACCCCTTCGGTGAAATTGGTGGAAGCTTGTACTCCAGCTGCGAACAGCTCGTTGGAAAGCCCCTTAGTTTTCTCCTCCAAACTGGCATTGTGGGATGCAAGGGAGTCTTTTTCAGCTTCAAGGATTTTTTCTCTCTCTTTCAGCCTCTTCACTTCGGCAAACAGCCCCTCCTTCGAAGACTCCGACATCCCCAGGCTCTCCTTTAAACCCCGGACTTCCTTCCGGAGCTGCATCACCTCTTTCCTCTGATTATCATACGCCTCGCGTGACACATCGTCCCACCCCAAAGGACCCGAAAAGGCGATGGCGAATTGCTGCACCCACAAAGAGGTTAAATAGAGTTAATCTTAAATACAAGATGCAATGGCAAAGATTGATTCACAAAGACAGAGTGAAACAAACCTGTGTAATGTTATGGAGAAGCAACTCAAGTCGGTCGCCCTTACTCATTTGCCCGAAATGGGCGACATCGGTGGGGAATGCCAAGGACCGGCACGCAGCAATGGCGTTTTCAGCATTCCGGCAGAGGTATAGTCCAAAGTCGGCCGGTAAAGCTGACCCAGCCGCCCCAAGGGCCAGCTCAGATCTCCGTTTCTTCGGAGCAGGTTCTCTCTCTACCACCTCTTCGGTCGAGGAAGGAGGCGGTGATTGGGCGAGAACTATCGCAGAGGATTGTTTAAGAGGCTCAGAATCCTCAGTTCGCGAAGCAGGTCCACCGCGGGCGCGAGGAGGAGCGGCGTTTTTCTTCGATGGCCTGGGCCTTAGAGCCCCTTCCTCCGAGGATCTTTTCTCGGATTCGGCGATTAGAGGACGCTGAAACTCAGACGCCTCGAACCCAGGTTCCGGATCGGACGGACGGGTAGCCGGCTTGTCACCTCGGAACATCCTCTTCATCCTTAGATCTACGAACCAAAACAAACGGGCAAGGGGAGATACGTGGGTGAGATACGAGACATTCAAGTACATAATTAGCGAAGCAACAAAAGACAAACCGACCCAAGTGAGACAGTGAGTCGAAGTAAGAATTAGTGTTATAACCGAACCCACCTAAATCTTCTCGAGTTAGAGAATATGTGCCGTTGTCGTGAAAACGGAAGTGGCGGAGCATCGGCGGAAAGCTGGTGAGGCTATCCGGGACGCCGTGACTCGGTTGAAAATGGGATATCATTTTTAATAAACATTCGTCAACCGCCAAAGGTTTACCTCTTTTCTTTTCAGGTAGGGTGGCGAGCCAAGGACATAAATAGGGCGTGTCAACAGGATTTCTGGCAAAGAAATAATGACCTTGCCACCCATCGGTTTTATTAGGTGGCATCAGAATTTTAAAACCCGGACGAGCCGAGATAGAAACATGGAAAGGACTGGAATTTTTCAATACCATGACACTTCGGAATCGAGCTGGTGTAGGAATCACCCCCGACCAAGCACATAGCATACGGAATCCCGTCATAATTATTATAGCGTGAGGGTGGAATTGATTAAGGGACACATTACATAGCTGGGCAATTTCAGAAAACCAAGGCGAGATAGGGAAGGATAGACCGAAATAAAACTGCTCTGAAAACCAAGTACTGAAACCTAAGGGGGGAGTTAAAGGACGGTCATCTCGCGAAGGAAGAATCAACTCGACATCGGTGGAGAGGCCTATGTCGCGGACTAAGTTAGCCAGATCTATGTCGGTCAGGGTACTGGGCCCCCATTGGTCATCTAAATCCCTCCCCCCAGATACGGAGGGCGAACCACTCCTCGCAGAAGAAGAAACCTCTTTCTTGCCCTTCTTCTTGGGTCGTTCCAAGAGTTTACCCGAAGGGGAGAAGTAAGGCCCCTCCTCCGACGAAGAAGAGATAGAAAAAGCAGGGTTTTCACCCCCCTCCCCGGAAGGCGCTTTTTGGCCAAAAGGGTCAGGGGAATGGGCTGACATTATCGAATTGAAGAATAAGATGGAGGTAATAAAAGATGGGGAAGAGAAGTAATACCTTGGCTAGAGAGAAAGAGTGGGCTTGAGGGAGGAAAGCTCTGTCTCAGAAAATGGAATCACCAGAAATCAAGCAGGAGGAGAGACGTGTAGGCAAAAAGAAAAAACTTTTACAAGTTGGGTTAATGAGGTATTTATAGGGAAAGAGATAAGAGGAAATTAGATCTCAACCACTCATTCGGACGAACGAGATCAAAAGCAGGCCGCCTCGAATTCGGCGCGGAAAGCACCGATTGAAATTCCCTCATTATGACCTAGGGAACTCGAATCGACTGCATTGATTGATAGGACAGCAGAAGGCGGTAGAGCACGCTTCCCCATCAAAGATTAAACGCTAAAAACGAACTGTTACCTCGCACTCCATACTCCATATTCATCGAACGGGACAAAACAGAAGTTTTATCTCGCCCGATAATTAAGGAGTAGGGGGGAGTAGTTGATACGGGCCATTCTGGAAAGATCCAATACGAATTAGGCCCACGACAAAAGGCCCATGGCAATTCAGCCCAATGATATAAAAAGACCATTAGGTCGTACGACCTCAACGACGAACTGCGGAACTTCGGCTCGCAGGCCCAGTATCGGCTCGTGGTAAATCGAGCCCAGGGTTATAAAAGGCCCAATACACACAATGGCTTGAGGGGGGAAAAAACCCTAAAAAGGAAACCTTGGAGGCCAAGGTTTCCTCATTTATAAATAGGGAATGATATTGCGTTTTTCCACACAGAGAATATACATTTTTCACACACTTTTACGTACTTTCTAAAAACTCGCTTTGAAATCATACTAACTTGATCGTCGGAGCTTTCCCGCCGGGAACACCTCCCGGCGTTGCAGGTCTTTTTTCTACCGGAATCCGACAGAGAGCTTAGAGGACGCGAGGAAGAGCCCCACGGACCAAATCACACCGGTACGAACTAGTTCACTAGTTTTGTTTGTTTTATTGATTTGCCATTTATCAAACAACCTCAATGCTTTTTTTTTTTTTTTTCAAGTACAAATAGTTCTTTCAATGTTATGTTAAATTTACACATGCAAGTGGATTACGCCTCAGTTAAATTAGTGTAAATCTCTGATTAAAAGATTAAAGAAAAAAAAAAAAGAAAAATGGATTACACATCAGTTAAACTTCACATTAGAATTGGATTCGGATTTCTTGGCTTACATAATGTTAACATATGCATATATACTTTATGTTGTTGGATTGGGATGTGATAAATGTTCCGTTGTTTAAATTTTGGTCACTCTGAGTTATTGTCAAATTACAAAAATCCCCTTATGTTTGCGTAATTACTGTCAGGACTTCAAACACAGTACGTACTAACGAAATCGCAGTACGTACTTGTTCAATTTAGTTTATAAATTTGATTGATTAGCATTCTATTCTATCTTTTATTTTGATCAATGTTGTAAAGTACGAATATATCTTTTTCAATGTTATGTTGTATTTACACATGCAAACACATTTGGTAAATTGGTGTAGCATGGAACAAATTGTTGTATGGACTTGTTTGCGATATTTTTTAATCTCGATTATTATCGATTTTTGCGTTTTGTCCGAGGTGATGTAGATGTTACATCTTATTTACACTTTATAGATTTAAACCTTATCTGCAATTTCATACTGGTTTAGGGCTTACCTTTGTTGGGTTATTTCTATGCTACATCTGGTGAAGGTTACACTAAGTGAATTTTTATCGTTGATCTACATACACTAATGTGGAAGTGTGTGTGTGTTTGTGTACTTATGAATGGTAAAGATCTACCCAGTGTATTTCACCGATTGCAGCATAGTATAAACCCGTTTCCAATCATATAGGGGCATTGGGTAAATCTACACTCTCGATTAGTAGATTTGCAAACCATTTGGCCAGAAATTAATTCTTTTAAGCATGATCCTTAATTTTTCTTTGCCTTTCTCTTTTTTTTTTTTTTTCTTGAAATAAACCTTCATTTTATTACAATACATCTTAACTTACTCTTGAAAATAAAATTATATATATAATAAATCATATATGAACCCTACGGAGAGGATGGATCCCAAAAGATCGCGTTCCCAACAGCCGGCTGAGATAATCACCGACAACAACGATTTACTGGCGGAAATAATCCTCCTCCGCATCCCGGAAAGATCCCTCACGAAACCTACCACTCAGAGTTCAACAGATCGGAGCACAATTCAGGCGGAGGGATCTAATATACCCCGATTGGCTCGAAATTCTGGATGGCATTTCTTGTAATAACCGGATATATTGGATCAAACAAAACTTCAGAATCATACTATTTCAATATCCAAACAAGACATTTGTAAAAGCTGAGTGGAATCAAAGCTCCTAGGAATCAAAATGGAAATGTACATTGTGTCAGCACATATTTCGGTCTCGAATTCAAATACTTGATTGTATACGAGTTGTCGTCGTCGGATCATGGGCTCAAGCTCGAGCTTTGTTCTCGTATATGAAGTATCGCGAATATTATATATATCAATATCACACCATTATTTGCATTCCTTGATAATAATCACACAGCTAGTTTTTTTTTTCTTTTTTTTTTTCTTTTTTTTTGGCTGAAGGTTTATGTTTAGTTCAAGAAATTTAATAAATTCTACCTTAAAATAACTTATACCATTGTTTATTTAAAAAAAAACAAATAGTAGGAGTTTAATTTCATTTCCAAAGTAATGAAACAATTCACTATGCCATTTCTCTAAATTTCACAAAACCCTAAACACATTCAAAACTGAACTACTGATCTCTCTCTCTCTCTCTCTCTCTCTCTCTCTCTAGTGCTAGGTTTCCACACCACTTCAAACACAAGCCAAACTCTCAATAAACTGATACGAAAAATTACACTTAAACTGAAACTGATTATGTCTGTAAATCCTACTATTTCTGAAATTACACAAAACCTCGAATACCCGATCGTAAAAACTGTAACTAATAATCATTCCGGGTATATGAAGCAAAACCGACGAATCTTCTTCCTTATCGCCCCTCACGATTCCCAATACTCTGATCAGCCCTTTGATCTCCGGCATTGCCGAAGAAATCGGACTCAAATCAGCCAAGTATTTTTCGAACCACACCGAGTTACCGTGCTCCGACAACTCGTGCACGGTTAGGGTTTCGAGTTTGGTACCCAAATAGGTGCACACGCAGTGCGCGTGCCCGTTCGACTCGACGATGTAGTTCTTGTTCAGCTCTCCGCCTCTCTGGCGGGGGATCCTGACATTCGGGAGCCGGATCAGATTCCTCGTTTCGAGATTGAAGTAGTGGGATCTGGAAGTGGGCCGGATCCAGTATATTCCGTTGTTCCACGAGATTCCGTTGAAGAATTTTATGTTGGCCGGAGAGATGTCCGGGTTTCCGGCGCCGGCGATTTCTTCCCAATTGTGGGATTCGGAATCGTAGATTCCGATCGTGAGATTGAATTGGGATTGGGAACCGGCGGTTTTCGTGAAGGAGATAACCTTGTAGTGTGGGGATTTCGAAGGGTCGAAATAGAGGGAAAGCCCGAGGGGAGCCGGCGACGTCGTTTTCCCATCGGCGCCGGAGACCGCCAGCTTCCGGGATTGTCGGGTGGTGGGGTTGTACACGCAGTAGTTGCGGCGGCCGTACTCGGTGTTGCGGTGCTCGAGGAGGAGGAGGCCGTGACTGGATTGGAGGATCCTGGTATGGGGGAATTCGAATTTGAAGGGGAGGAGGGTTCTGGTGGTGGGGTTTAAGTAGAAGAACTCCGGCGTGGCGGCGGAGGTGCGGAGGAGGAAACTGGGGAGGGATTTGAGGCGGCGGCGGCTGTGGTGGTTGGTGTGGGCGGCGGCGAAGAGAGGGGTGGAGATGAGGGTAAGCCACTGTTTGCATACGGACTTGAATCGGGCGAGGGATCTCGGCGGGAGGTAGACGAGGATTAATTCCGTCACTAAATCTTCGTTGCCGCCGATTATCTCCGCCGATTCAGAGCCGTGTGATCTCTTGGGTTCCGACTCCATGCTGTCCTCTAGGGTTCAAGAATTTGAGATGATATGTATATATATATATATATATATATATATATATATATATATCGCAGGTGCATGTACGTATACGGAGAGATGAGAGAGAGAGAGGAGAGAGAGACTGAGAGATGAGAGAGAAAGAGGAGAGAGAGAGAGAGATTGTAACTGAAGTTGAATTTTATTTTGCTATTTAAAAACAAAATTGATTCTGTACATATACGGAGCTGTGAGCGCAATTAGGGACTATTTTGAAAAGCGGTTAATATCTCCAACTGGCCGGTGGGGGTGAGGGTGGGGGGTGGGGTGGGGTGGGGGGTAGGGTTGGGGTTGTTAGGGGGAGGGGGGGGGGGGGGGGGGGGGTCCCTTTTGCGAGGGTTTTGCTCCATGCATATGTACCGGGTAAGGTTCTATCATTTCGTTACGACAACATTTCATGCCGTTTACCGAACTGAGTATACAATTTGGTTCGGTAATAACCGAATTACACAAAATTTATGTAAAATATTCAAAAAGAGGGGTTGCTGTAATTATCCAAACAAAAAGGGTTTTTTCGTAACATACTTCAGGGGTAGCCGTAATTTGCCCTTATTATTTATAAGGAGTTTTTCACCCGTGCGAGGCTAAAGAAATTATGGGAAAAGTTTGTTGCTCATAAAATATAAAATAGATCTTTGAAAATTAATTATAAATTATCTAGGGTAAATTACACCTATACTCATTTGCAAAAAAAAGAAAAAAAAGTACACCTATACACATGAGGTATGCTAAAATAATTTTAACGTTTATGCGATATTCGTAAAATTACAGCCACACTCCTGAAACAATTACCGGACCCTAAATTTCATGTCTTGGAAACTGATATGCAATATATTTATTTCCCGTGGGGCCGTTAATACTACACGCTACCAAAGACGGAAATTTATAAATCTTATACTCCCTCCTTCCCATTTTATTTGTCATTTTGAGCTCATGCACACATATTAAGAAAATCAATAAATGTGCATGGATTCTACAAAAATCATAATAAAATGACTAAAAAACCACTCTTATTTATTGCTCCATCATTAATTCTTTTAATAGTAGTAAGGGTAAATTTGAGAAAACACAATAAATATGCGATGGAAATTGTAAAATGTCAATTATTTTGAAATAAAAAAACATCTCTAGAAAGACAAATAAAATGGGAAGGAGGGAGTATAAAATAATAAGAATTTAAGAAATATTAGGAGAGTCATGTCACCCCCTAACTCTATGTTGTTTCCACCACTGCCTGAAACTAATAGTCCCTTAGAATCCTAACAGAATTACTTATTTAATGCATTATTCCGTTAGGGTTCTTACAATATTTCAGGCATAATTATAATTATCAATACTATAAGGACCTTAAAGTTATTTTAGTATATTCCAGAGTTGTGGGTATTTCTCATATATGAATTATGATATATGCACATCGTATATACGTATATATTATATTAAAAAAATAAAAAATAAAAAATAAAAAATAAAAAATAAAAAATAAAAAATAATAATAATAATCCGGTACAACGAAAAGGGCAGCCCCACCATTACCCGTCAAGTCAGTGATACCAGTGAAAATAAAGTGGAGGAGGAAAATGCCAACACACACGCCATCTTCTTTTCTCTCCTAATTGAACTACCGAGATAGGATTTCGATTCCGATTCCGATTTCTTCCCCCACCGTAATCCGCCATCTCAATTCCCCGATGTATCCTCTTTCCGCCGCCTCCGATTCCTCGTTTTAATTCTGTTCTGCATACCCCTTTTTTTTGGGTTGATTTCCGGTGAGTATTTTAAAATTCCGATATTCTTCTGCAAAGTTTCCGATTCGACGATTTTTTTTTTCACTGACGAATTTTTGGTTTTGAAAAAAAAATGTCAGTGTGCGTGGGTGGGGGGAAGAGAGGGATGCAGAGCCAGGTTGTGTGCAGCGGGTGCAGGAGTCTTCTCATGTACCCGAGTGGAGCGACCAATGTGTGTTGCGCCGTGTGTAGTGCTGTCACCGCCATTCCTCCTCCAGGTTAAATTTCTGGATTTCCTGATTTCAGTGTTGCGATAAAGAAAAATATACTGTTTATGCAAAGTGTTTGATGAATGGAACAATTCCCATAATTGAAGAAGGAAAAGTTACCCAATATTATGTAGGCCAGAGAAGTTCAATTTGTCAGATGATTCTGTTGTTTGAGTTTATGCGAGCGAGTTTGTTGGAGATTTTTTTATGTCCGACTCGATGAATATCTGAATGGATTTAATGTAGTTTCCACCTTTATGCTGGTGCATTGCCATTATATTGTAGATGCTAAAGAATGTGAGGATTTGAGAATTGGATTTTGTTGTAATATCTTAATTAAGGTAGGGTTTTTTGTCGGAGAAAATGACGTTACCAACTGGATTTCAACCTTATTAAATTGCGTTTGATGTTGTACTATCATGGAAAATTCACTGGATGTGTGCTTTCAACTGTCTTGGATAGCTCGTCCGCCTTCTAAATATGCGTTCACCGTGAGAGAAGTAAAGCATGCAACGTACAAGATTGTGGTACATTATAATGAATAATAACCGAGGATGGAATGAGAATTTGGTGGATGATGCTAGTGCTTTCTCTTATGTTTTAGAATAAGTCACGGAGATAAATGATCTTATTGTCTATTAATGTGTAAAAAAAATTGGCCGACACCAAATCTTAGCAACATACTCACTAAATATGGTCGAAAACCAGTTTGCAAGAGAAAACACGTTGGTGTTACTGTGCTCTTTGAGATTTTGCATTTTGAAAGGGTTTTTGCTATTTTGTTTTATCATTTCCCGTTAAGAATATTATAACCGATCAGTTTTCTGAAGCAAGTAGACCTAAATCAGTCCCTTATTTAAGCCTTATGCTGTCTTAAAACATGGAGAAGATGTAAGCTGGAATGTGGAGATCCATTGAAATTTTGGTACATTATTCATGCAGTTTTACTTCATCTATTATCTATGTATCTATTTACTGTGAAATAGGTATTTCTTTATTTTTTAACTTAGGATGGAAGAATGAGTTCGTACTGGCACGGCTATAAGTATGAGTTATTTAACCTAGAGTATGACGCAGTTCAGGCATGGCTATAAGATCCTTCATTCAATGTCATATGAAATAAGATTGCAAATATCGGTATTAAAATGTAAAACGTAGGATTTTATGATTTTACTACCCCATAAATTGTAAAATCTTTCTCATAAACCAGGCAAAATTGTTTGGAATCAAGATCAAAATCATTAAAATCATGATATTCTGAAACTCGGGTTTTAAGCCTCATTAAATGATTTATTCTTTAAAAAATCATAAACCCATTAAATTTCACATTATGTCTCATGTTTGCTCCTGGGAACAAAGAAAAGAAGATAAACTGTACAGCCAAAAGAAAATCACCAGCAGCACCGGTTGCGACCAGTTAAATGATGTTTAATTTATGTGAAGACGTATTTTTATTTATGTTTGGACTATATTTACTGTGTGTTGAAACATGTTTTGTTAATGTTGGGATGATTTATTTATGTTAGGCTCATATTATGTATGTTGTAAGCATGTTTTATTTGTATTTGGAGATGTTTATATTGAAATATATATACACTTTGGCTTGTTATTAATTTTACAATGTATGTAAAATCTTATGATTTTATGATTTCGATTATTATAACCCCTCGTTGATTCATTCAACATCCCGATTTTAACTACCTTGTATGAAAATAACTCTGATTTGACTCGGATTTTTGAAAATTGTATATTCTATCTACGACATGAACAATTAATTGAAATTCTTGTTCCGTTTAAAGGTACATATATTGACTCATGAGCAACATGTTAGCACTTAGAAGATGCACTTCAACTTTTAACCAACCACATGAAAAAAGTACTGTACTAGTTTCAAATATGGAAGTTATGCCTTTCGGCCAAAACTTAAGTTGTATATGTTCGTGCATATAAGACCATTTAATGTTTTAATAGTTTATTAGAGCTTTTATTACGTAACGACTTAGATCATGTTTGCAAAAGCTTTTGGAAACATATTATGAACTTTTTTTTTATTCATAATCTGTTTTGGAGTGTTCGCACATACTCTTTGCTTTTGCTTCACTTAAAATACTCTATTTTAAGCCATAATCTCAAAAGCACCTGTGCAACTTTTTTCAATTTAAAGCTGCATTGGACATTTATGCCCTTATTATTTTACTGAATTCACATATTTAACCATTACTTGTGCCGAAACAGGCAAGATGTAAAAGTTCGACCTTTTCAACTGTAAAGTTTGTGAAATATAATAACATATATGTACATTGACAAAGTAATATTTAGTCATCAGGTTTTCTAGCTTTAATGTTTGAGTTTAGCTTTGTCGTCACATCTTTTCACTATTTCAGCTGACTTCTGCTTCATCTTGAAATCTTTGGGTTCAGATATCAGGAATTCATTGTGCATGCTGTGAACTATGTGTTTTTAACTGTTTACAGTACTGTGATTTGCATTTCAAGTAATAATTATTTCATTGTTGCTGTTTTATCAAATATGTGGGAGTGTATAAGTACGTACGTTATGCCCGAACATTGGATTTCAGTTTTAGATTCTACGCAACTTAATACCTACTTCATTCTTAGGAATGGAAATGGCCCAACTGATATGTGGAGGCTGCCGTACACTACTGATGTATACACGCGGTGCTGCAAGTGTTAGATGCTCCTGTTGTCACACAGTAAACCTTGCACCAGGTAGCTAATAACTAATGAAAGAGAACGACTATCATAATGAATGAGAGTGTCTTGTGCGTTACAAATGAGTTACGTACGGAATGTATATTACTTTTTCGTATATATGCCGTGAGAAAGTGATCATATGTTTGGTCGAACTTTCCTGGATGTTTCTGTTTTATCTATTAGAACCATTGCCCTTCAGATCTTCTACGATTATTGGATTCGTAAGGGGATCCGTTACCAGGAAATAACTAAATGGAGAATTATTGCAGGATATAATAATATATCAGGACCCATACAAAATAAAATAAATGGAGAATGCTACTTGTCAGTGTTACACACACACACACACACACACACACACACACACACACACACACACACACACACACACACACACACACACACACACACACACACACACACACACACACACATAATAACTGTCAATGCCCAATCTTCAATCATTAACTACCTCTGTTTGTTGAGCTGTCATATCTCTGTAAATTTGCAGCTCTTTTTGAATCTTACTGTATGTATTCTTATGCATTTATTTGGGGTTTGGTTGTCTGTTAGCACCAAATAATATAGCTCACATCAACTGCGGAAACTGCCAGACGACGCTCATGTACCCTTACGGTGCTCCATCGGTCAAATGTGCTATTTGTCAATTTATCACAAATGTCAACGTAAGTAGATTCAACATTTTTTTATCTTATTCGTTATATATTTAGTTGGACGAACATTATATAATCGAACCTCTGTTCCTTTCTTCGTAACCGGAATTCATCTAATGCTGGATTTTTTTTTGCTATGCATAATTTTGTTGCTTCATGCTGGCAGATGGGAAATGCTAGGGTACCCATTCCCATGCATAGGACAATTGGACCACCCTCTTCAGCATCAATGCCTTCAAGTTCGGCAGTAAGTTTCTTCTTTATCTGTGACTGAGTCCACGTAGAAATTGACGTTGCATTTTGGATTAAATGATTCGGAGCTAGTGATTTCAAATCCTTAATAACAAAATAACTTGACCTTATTTGGGCGAGTTTAATTTTACAACGAGTTCAAAATCCTTACTTCTCAATTTTGAACTAGTTTTTGAATTATTAATGCAGAGTTATTTGCAATCCTTCTACCAAATCCTCTCATTAAATCAAAATCCTTCTTTCCAAATGCAATCCTATGGTTTTGGATTACCTTATAAGGGAAAAATCTTTCTAGCCGTATTAGGGGGAAATTGGAACTTAAATTCCAACATCTGCCGATTCCGATTCCGTAATTTCCGATTTTGGAACAATATTTGAATTCCGAAAGTTCCGATGTCTGATTTTTCCAATTATATTTTTAGGAACGGAATTGAAATACATATTAGATTCTGATTTTTGATTTGATTTTAATTTCCCAATATTCCAACCTCTTTTTTTACAAAATTACACTTAAAAGATCAATATTACTATGCATTTTGTATTATAGATGACCAAACAATTTGAATTTCCTAATTCCTCTGATTCCGATCCGAAAATTTCCGATTTCGGAACAAGTATTTTCATTCGAATTTCCGGAATTCCAATTTTTCGATTTTTTCGAAATATTTCTTTGAACGAAATTGGAATTAGTTTTCCACTTCCGAAAAATATAGGAATTTTTCCGAAAGGGCTAATCCAATCTATATGTCCGATTTCCACCCCTAAGTGGTATGTTTTATTTCATTTCCCATCCAGTTTACCTTCTTTTCTTTTCCGTTCAATGCAGGCAATGCCGAATCTGCAGAGCCAAACCGTTGTTGTGGAAAATCCTATGTCTGTCGATAAAAGTGGGAAACTGGTAAAATCTTTGTGTGTGTGTGTGTGTGTGTGTTTTATTTACAGTCCATGTCATATTTTTTCCCTCATTCAATCTGAACCATAATTCGGAGAATATTTCGAATTTATTTTAGGTAAGCAACGTTGTGGTCGGAGTAACCACCGACAAAAAGTGACGTGGCAAAAAAATCATCCAATAAATCAGTCGGCATTTCGGGTAATTACGAGGTGTGTATATTTATGCGGGATTTGTATCTATATTATCGCATTTGGCGGCTTTTACAGTTCGGCGAAATCTGTATTATGTTGTTATTGCAAAGTTGCATGTGTGCTAACTGATATCACATATATATGCATGTATAGTGTGTAGAGAGAGCGCTCTCTTCTCTACCTATTGAAAACATTTGTGTGGAGATATATTTGTCGAAATTGCAATTAGGAACTAATGAAGATGACTGTTAATGAGTTGTTCACAAATTTGTCTTTGTGTAAACATGAACTTGTTAATTAATGTAATTCTAGTAGTTATTGTTCTTAATGCAGGTAGCCGTTTCACCTTTTAGTAAAGAAATACAGATATTTGGAATTATTTTTGAAAATAAAAATCTTCGAAAATAGAAATTTTTATGCACAAAATTAATGGAATCTAAAAAATCGGCCAGCATCCACCCCCAAATTGGGCTAGATTTCGGTGGTGATGCTGAGAGCATCTATAGATAGATACTTGTTACTTACTAATAATTTTGAACAGTTGATTGTCAGATGGTAGTCCAGCTACTAAATGCTACTGCCAATTTTATGGGGATTTTTGTCTTCTTATGTGATTTATGTTTATCTTTCTGTTCATTTTCTTTTTCTTTTTTTCTAAATTATAAATTAAGGTTTATTATAGTACAGATTATATCAATCATTTTTAATTAAAAGAATTGAAATTTTCACTTTGCTCTTATTTTCATTTCCCATAACCTCTAATCCAATTAGAGATTGCTTGCAAATATCCTCGTATTGTAACTGTATGCATCATTTATTAGCATTTAAAATATGGTTTATTGCATTCAACATTTGTATTAGGAGGGATTAATGTGTTTCTTTATGTTATTAATCTTTCTTAAACATTTATTTAAAAGCTTCTTAAGACAATGGGTTACAGAAAGTGGCATCGGAATTAGCAATTGAACAGTGAAAGTATTGGAACTCTAAATTGTGGATAACTACATTTATTAATACCTTTTGGTCGATGATTGTTTTTTTATCCCTGCATGAAACACAATCTAATTTTAAGGTTTAAGTAATTCTTCCTGTGTGTCAAAACGTTTAGAGTAAAATTACAAATTTTCATGACTGATTTTATATTATGTTTTTGATGTTTCAAAACAATTTAACACTTGTAGTCATTTTCGATAATTTACTGTTACTCTATCAGTTAAGGAATTGATGGGCACAATTTTGATTCGGGTAGTACTTTCGACAAATTAATTGACGGAAGTACGAGGGACTAAATATATTTTTTTATTAGCATGGGAACCAAATGTGAAATCGATGCAAACTTAAGGGACCAAAATTGTAACATCCCCAAATATTTACCACTTCGATTTGTTGCATATGACCATTGAAATATAGTAAAAAAAAAAAAAAAAGGACTATTATGATTTTCTCTTTGGCTCGTAAAATCTATGTTACAATCATGAAATACATCGGTCATGCAATACTGATTGGTGTACACACTCATGTGTACATTATTTAGTGGATGATTGTGGTATAGATTTATCGTGCAAAATCACACAATCCTTTTCATCAAAATGTAGCATCTCGTAGACCAGCAAAATCGAACATTCACTATGGACTAAAAAGAATGTAATTGGAGATACTTAAGAATGTGCTAAAAACAATTATCTTGAAATAAAATCAAGAAAAAAAAATTTGAAAAATGAAAAAATTATTCATGAGTAAGATTGGAAGAAGAAGGAGGTGGGTGTTGGGAATGAGAAATCCAAGCCAACCACCTCTTAACAACACCTTCCTCCACCATTCTTTCTCTCTCCTCTTTCCCATTATTACTTCTGTACCTACTCACCCCTGTTATTTCCGACACGCTTCTCCCCTTTATTACGCTTCTGCCACTCTCTTCTCCAATCAGCATCTCCGACCCCAAGTACAGCAATTCCGCCGCCGCCTCCACGTCGCTCCACCTCCTCTGCCCCTCCTCCACCCCCTCCCCTCCTCCTCCGGATATTATTATCCGGTGCTCCACCCTGTGCTCCACCGCCTTCACCGGCAGCTGCCCGTCTTTCCTCGCCGATTTCGACCTCCTCCCTCCCCCCGCCGCCGCTGTTTTCCAGCTGTCAAGCGATTTGCTCCTCGAAACCTGGTCCCCTGTTTTCCGCCTCGTTGATTTCCAGCTGTCCAACGAAATTCTCCCCCGGAAATCCTCTCTCGGCATCGGGTTCGGATTCGGATTCTCCACTATGACCTCCAGGGAGCCGCTCCTCTCGCCGGCGGACGAGTGCCGCCCGGAGATTCTAGGGTTCGCGTGCTCCTTCCCCTTTCTGCTGCTAGCGCTGCCGCGCGGCGTATCGCCGCCGCCGCAGTGGTTGTAGAGCGCTCCGCCGCCGCCGTCGACGACGAGGAGGATGTCCTCCGGGTCGACCCTGTACCGGCAGAGGGGGCACGTGGAGTGCTCGTCGAGCCACGTGTCCACGCACTCGACGTGGAATGCGTGCTTGCATTTCGGCAGCAGCCGGAGAACCTCCTCCGCCTCGAACCGGTTGAGGCAAACCGCGCATTCCAGGCCCTCCTTCTGCCCCCTCAGCGACGAGAACCGGAACAACGGCAGCGATTCTATCACCTTCCTATTGATCCCGGAGTTCCTCCGAGAGAGACGGTGGCCCCCGCCGCCGCCGTAGGAGGCCGAACCGTCGGCCGCGTAGCCGGACCTCTTGCAATGCTTCACGTACAGAAGCAACAAAAACGTCATCGCGAATATGGTTGTGATTATTCCTACAATCGCCGCTATCCCGGGCTTGAACGGCGCAATCCTCGATTCCACCGCCGTAGGCGGCGGCGCCGCCGCCGCTGCCTTGGTCGAATTAGCAATACCCCCTTGAAAAGCCACGGATGGACGATGGTGGCAGATAACCGTGAAGATGAGAGAGAAAACACATACACACAGGGGATTGTAAATCCCCATATATACCAGTTTGTGCCGGTGACGAAGAACAATATATATATTAATATATATTTATTTTTTTAATTTCTCTGCAAAAAATAAAACAAAGAGGAAGAAGAAGACAAGAGGCGTGTAACAGAATGGGATCTACCTTTGCCCAACACTATTATAGTCAAATATGAAATGACATGTATATATATATATATACATATACATATATGTATATACATATTATTATGTAGTACACAGAGGAGAGAGAGAGAGAGAGAGACAGAGAGAGAGAGAGAGAGAGGTAGGTTTGTCTGAAAGTACAGAAAACTTCTTTACTTCTGATGATTTTCAAGAAAGAAAGAATCACGAGTCTTGATGTGTGTCTCTCACTGTGTGTGTGTGTGTGTTATGTGTGTATTTTTGTGTGTGTATGTATATATCGGCGGTCTTCTTGAAAATTGAAACTATGCATGCAAACCCAAAAAATAATTAAAAAAAATAATTAAAAATTAGAAAAAAAAAAGGAAATAATTGTGGAGAAGAAGAAAGGAAGTGACAAATGGTTGGTGTTAGAAGAATTAAATAAAACCAGAGATTAATAAATAGTAATTTTGTTGACACTATTTGAAGGTCCACTTGGAATTCCTTGGGAACATGTATATCATAAATCCATGTGCCTTATTTCATCACTTCCTACCTAATTAGAAACTATGTTGGATAAATTTGTGAAACAAATTTTGAATTCGGAAATTGGAACGAAATTTCTGAACGATTGGTGTGTGTTTTGATTTGTAAGTTTCGATATTTGGATTTTTATTTTTTTTTTATAATTCTTTTTTATTTTTAGAATTTCTTACCTTCGTACATTTGGGATCTAAATTGAATTTATACATTGGAGTTATAATCTTCAATTTTCAAATTTTCGGGATTATTGTATGATCACTTCCTCCTTTTCATTTTAATTATCGTTTTGAATTAGTACCGATGTGTTATGAAAATCGATAAATGTGTATAGATTCTAAGAAAAATCTAATAAAATGACTGGAATACCTCAGTGTATCGACATTAGTTATTTCCCAATAAATTAGAAATAGAAGGGCATAATTGAAAAAAAGTACACTAAAAATGCTTCATTGAATTTCTAAAGTGACAAATGAAAAAAAAAAACCTCTAAAGCAACAAATAACATAAGAATGAGTGAGTATTGTATATTATTTTACAAATGACGACAATTAGAACATAAATTCTCTTTGATCCTAATTATTTATAATTTCGATTCAAACTCAGAGTTACCATTTTTCTTTCCCTGCAACGTATATTTTTAAATAGTAATACTTCCAATCTGCAATTTTTTACCCTTCGTAAAACACTGTCTAACAAATTCACAACGAGTCGCTACATTTCAAGAAAATCGTAGTAAATATTTTCAAATAATGGATTGAGTTAATTTGTTGATGTAACAAAGCTAAAATGTGTTTCATTTCAAAATTTTGTGTATGTATGTATGTATGTATATATGTATCTATCTATGTTTGAAAAAGAATAGAATATACCACATAAATTATTATATTATTCCTACACATTTATGCAGCCATAAGAAGCACAGCTCGGCTGCATTGAATAAAATGATTGTGCATTGTCTGTTAGAAAGAAGAGATTATGATGTATCATAACAATTTTGCATTACAAACATTTTGCACAGTATTTTAAATGGAGGGGTCAATTGTCTTGAATGATATGTATCATAGTCGTCTGCTATTTAATTAAACTATTTGTGAAAATAAAAAAAATAAATGAATAAATCATGTTATATATAAATGGTGAAGTATGAGTTTATTGCATTTAGTACCTTCGTTTTATAACTTATATATTGAATTGTTAAAGAGACCCTTATATGATAAATATTAGTAAATACTGCATCTTTTACTTCTTAGTTGTCACTTTTGTTAGTTGCATATATACATAGGGCAAATTACGGCCACTCCCGAAGGTATGACTAAATTACGAAAAATTCCCTATTGTTTGGGTAATTACAACCACTCATATCCTTTTAAATATTTTTACATAAAATTTAGGGTAAATTACAACCATCCCCTTGAGGTATGGTCAATTTACGAAAAAACCCCTCTTGTTTGGGTAATTACGTCTACCCCTCAACTATGATTGTTTCTTACACTTTTACCCTTATGGTGTCAAATTCAACACAATCATCAAAAATTCGTGGAATGTGCTCTAGTTTGTACTCGTTTTCTGTAAAAATACAGTTCTCATGCACCACAATCTGATATATACAAGCCAAAAAACACATATTATGATCATCTTACTTCAGAATGTGGAGTTCGAATGGGATAAAGCGGGTACAAGAGATAATATTTCATATAATCTCGAAGATTTCACTAAATTTGAAACCGCAAGGGTGGACGTGTAAGAAGATTTATAGTTGAGGGGTGGTTGTAATTATCCAAACAGAAAGGGGGTTTTTGTAATTTGACCATACATCAGGGGATGGCTGTAATTTACCCTAAAATTTATGTAATTCGGTTATTTACCAAATCAAATCGTATATTCAGTTCGGTAAATGGTATGAAATGTTGGCGTACCGTAATCTCAGTTCGGTTTTACCGATTTACCATCCCTAAATTTACCTCTAGAAGGGTATTTTCGTAAGATAATACATAGTTGATGGGCGGCTGTAATTACCCAAACAGGAGGGGAGTTTTTGTAATTTGACCATAACTCAGGAGATGACCGTAATTTGCCCTATATACATATTAAGAAACTCAAGAAATAGTAACAAAAGGTACAACAAATTACTAAAATGCCCATATCATAAAATTAATTTTTAACTAGTTATCTTTTAATTAATTATGAGTGATAAAGAGCAAAATTATGAACCGATGGATATTATAGGGAAAAAAAAAAAAAAAAAAAAAAGGAAATTCTAAAAAATAACCGATGTTATGTTTGACAAGATGCTTAACTAATGAAAGATTCATTGAATCCCACTAATAAATCAAAAACTCTATAGCATTCACACGACATAAAAGAATATTAATTTGACCCCATATTATATTAAATTAATATTTAAACTGAATTTTGGACCCATTAATGAAGTTTGTGGTTTCTGCTCAAGCATTCACATAACGATACATACATAATTAAACGATTTCAATTATTAAAAAAAAATAGTTAGAATTTACCACATAAGAAAATAGTTGCATTTCAAAAATTAGATTAATTATTTTTTTACTGTAAATTACAACCACTTCCATGATATAAAGTGTAAGCACAAAAAAATCCTTCTTTTTGAAAAATTACATCCAGTCCTTGCAGTTTATAATTTTTTTACGGTCAACTCCTAAAAAAAAGGTGTTAATGTAAGAAATTTACAAATTACAAGGGTTGAATGTAATTATGGAAAAATGAGGGAATTTGTAGTAAATAGAACTTACATCTGGAGTGATTTGTAATTTACTCTTATTATGCACATTTTCTTATAATTAGTTTGTTTTGTAAAGATTCATCAAAATGAATCATCACTCTGATCTATAAAGTTCTAATCTTGAATATGATTGACGATTCAACTCTGATTTAATCACATTGGGAAATAGCGAAAGCTTCTGCAAAAATTACAGAAATTGTACTTTTAATTGACGCCGGAATTCATACCGGTAGTCACATTCCGGCGCCGGTACGGTTGCCCTCCGGTTGTGGCGAAGTGAAACCGAAATCCTAGACCACTTATATATAGTAAATTAGTAATCTTTCTTTTTCTTTTTCTTCCTCCAAATATTTTTTTTTTCATTTTTTAATTTGTCAGTCAATTATTGCGTTATTTATTTTTAAAAGTTCGGGGTGTTTACAAATGTTCTGAATAGCTTTTTTTTAAGAAGAAATCGAAATTTCATTAGACATAATTCGCCATGATAGGTGGAAGGGAGGAGCCCTCCTAAGAGTCAAGATCGAAAGAACTAGCAAGAGAGTGAGCTAGAATATTGCAAAAGAAAACGAGCGACTTCTGAATTGAGAAGAAATAATTCTAATGTCTTCCAGAAGAGCACCATACGATGTGATCGAAAGGAAGATCTTTTTTATTCCCAAGGCTCTAATAACTTGAAGGCAATCGCCTCTTGACGATAATGTTTGACCATCCTCGAAATGCTGCTATTTGGATTGCTTTGAGTGCTGATTTTGCCTCGTCTTCGATTGGTCGAGTTCGGTACAAATACACACTGGAATCTAAATCCCAACATCTTCTTATCAAACTCCACTCTTGGAGAAACTCTAATACCACTCACTTAGATTATTAGCTTTGGAGGGTGTTCACCTAAACTTATAAGTTGTTAAAAAGAACTTATACGATATTTAAGAGTTTATAAGCTCTTCTGGAGTACTTGGTAAATCTTTTTAAAAAATATATTATTTAAAAAAAATTGCAGAAGAGCTTTTAAGATCTTTTAAAAAATGTACATCTACGAGGAAGAACTAATCAACTTTTTAAAATAAACTTAGCCAAACAGACTCTTAGTCGTGAACCTTACATGACTTGTTCCAACCGTTGTAATTTTAAAATAAAATTTTCTAGTATATATATATATATATATATATATATATATATATATATGGGAACAATATTAAAATAAATGTATATCTCATGGACCGAGTGTGGAATAAAAGACTCAAAAAGTCCAATTAAGACCCATAATGTCAAAATTGATTGCAAGTTGGGCCGATTTGACTCCATTATCATCCATTCATACAATTCCAATTGTGTGAAAATCATTATGCACAAATAATTGCGATATTTTGGAGATTAAATTATGTACTAGAACTTCCTAGCTTCAAAATTCAACTTGATCATTGTTGTATAGCCAATTAGCCATGAATCCACAAGGCCTTAATTTGTTTTTAATTAAAAAAAAAGTATTTTTTATCGATAAACGATTACTGATGGAAGATAACGAGCTGATTATTTAAGTGAATTAAATTTATTTTTCTATAACTATTTGTTGATGAATGAGAAATTCATTAATCACTTAAAATATTTTATTATAGAAAATAATGGGTGAAGTACTACTATTAAAAGTAAAGAGATTTTTAGACATTCGATCGAAACTTTTTCTGAAAAATTGTGACTATCGACCAAATAGATCCTGCAATCTACCATTTGACTGATTAAATCCAAAAATTACTTTATGGAGTCCTTTTTTAGTCCGAAAATATTATTTATGAATTTTTTTATTTAATCTTATTAAAAAAATGTATCTTGAAAAACAATATAATATTCAAATATCATTGAGGCTATGTATTTTGGTTCATATATAGGGGCCATGAAAATCACAACTTGGCCACGTTGGTCTAGCTCGTATCTATAGATTGAGAATATATTGCATTGAATTTATTTATCGAAGTGGCCACATTAATTAATTTAATTACTTCTTATTCGAATAATAAGTGTTGACTTATTTGAAAATCATGAAGTCGTTATAGAACATTAGTAACACCAGTTTTATAATTAATTATTTAAATATAAGTTGTTGATTTATTTTGTTTGGATACAAAGTAAGATTGTCGAAGTTTGGAAGTTATTATTATGATAATTTTGCAACTAATTAATTAGAAAATATAAAAATAGGAAGAAAATTTTCAAGACCTTGTTTTTAGAAAAAAAAGTTACAATCTCCCACCAGTAGAAAAATAAATTTTCTTTATTACGATCATTAACCATAGCAAAAATAACCAAATTCAAAGTAAAAATATTTTTGCTACGCATTTGCCACGTAGCATATATGGGCGTGACAAAAACTTTTCTACGGTAAATGGTTGTGGCAAATATTTTTTTGCTACGATAAATCTTAGCAATTACCACGACTTCAAGATTGTCCCGTGGTAAAAGATACATTTTATTACGAATTTTTGCCGTTGCAAAACAAATCATAGAAACAAGCCATTTTTCTACTAGTGTCCTTAGTATGAAATTTGCATAAAAAAATCAATTTGATATCTAATGTATATACACAAGAATATCCATTGGCGGATCTAGCATAGTAACAGGGGTCATGCCCCCCTCCAACATTTTCCAGATTCTGAATATTTATATATATAAAACAAATTTTGTAATAGTATTGACGACTTACCCCTGAATTTTTTTAATACATTCGGCTCTCGCTGATTTTAAATTCTAACTCCGCTAGTGATAATACCCTACATGAATCTTTTATCTTTTTGAAATTTTCATTTCCTAGTGATAATGCCATCACTTGATTTTGATTTTAAAATAATTATAGTGTTTATTACAATAATTTATCATAGGTGCTAATATCGGCGGGAATGGTGTTTAGGGAAAATAATTATGACCTATATGCAGAGTTTAATTAGTGAATATACAACCTCATTTTTTTAATTAATTTGTAAGATCAAGCAAGCAATATTAGTCACATTTTACTAAAATCTAGACAATTTATTGAATATTTTAATACTTGTGCAATGGTGAAAAACGACAAATAAATTAAAGAACGAAGGGAGTATTGCATAATTGAAATAAAATCTAGATTGTACATTATTCTTACCGGTTGCATTGAAAAAACAATCTAGAATCATAGATATAATGCATGCGTAAGTACTATACAAAGCATAAGTATTATTGTATGTGATTTGTTTGTAGAACTTCTTACTTATTAAAATTAAGATATGATTTCAAAAATAAATTGGCTTTATTTTTCTAGTCACCCAAATAGTTTATCTATTGGAATGATGCTACTAATAACTGGTACTGATACTGAGTACACAAATTGTAAAAAAGAAAAATCATAAAATATTAAAATTTAAGAATTTTTTGTTGTACTTTATACACAAATATAAGGTAGCAATTATTACATGTATGATTATTGTTTGTCGACTTTCTACTTGGAGTTAAATATCATAGGTACATATTATTAAAATTGAAATTACTAAAATATATGAATAAGCTCTTAAAAATTAAGTTTCATCGCATTTGGAGCCTCAAACTTCCGGTTTAAGTGCATTATGATAAAGACGACCCCAAAGAGAGGTCATGTTTCCTATTTTAACCTTATTAATTAAATACAAGTATTAGCTCTCTTTTATAAATCATTAAATAATAAAGATTATTTTAATCTTTTATATATTTTTTTTTTCTAAAATTAAGACATATTTATTGAGTTTCTAAAAATTTGTGCAGCGGGTAACTAGTAGTACATGTTAAGTTGCATTGAATTAGCTAGCTAGAATGTTTGAGAAATATTAATAATTGAACTTAGAGTTAGGGAGTTATGTCTTGTGAGGCTACAACTCTCAATAAAAAAGCTACATAGCTCCTAACTATTTATTGGATAAATGAAGTTCTCCACCATCTATTACAAGTCACAAGATCTTAGTTTTACTTATTTATTTCAGTTAATTTGATTTTCTTTTTTTAATTATGAAAGTACACTCTTGGCCAACTTTTAGGCGGAAGGCGTAATTAGCAAAACTAATTTCACCCGATTTAATATATGCGATATATTTCAGATTATATAATAGGGTAAATTACAGCCATCACTGAGGTAAGGTCCACTTACGAAAAAATTGTTTGGATAATTACAATCACACCCCTCAGTTATGAATCTTCTTACACGTCCTCTCTTTTGGTGTCAAATTCAACATAATCTTTTAGATTCCGTAAAATGTTTTCTAGTTTATACTCGTTTTGTGCAAAAATGCAGCTTTTGATGCACCACAACCTAATATTTACAAGTTAAGAGACACGTCTTATGATTATCTTGTTTCAAAATATGGAGGCTCGAATGGGGTAGAGTGGATACAAACTGGATCAGAGAATATTTCACATAATCTAAAAGATTCTACTAAATTTGACACCACAATAATAGACATGTAAAAAAAATTCATAATTAAGAGATGCATGTGATTATAATTATCCAAACATGAGAGAGTTTTTCGTAATCTAACATTACCTCAGAAGTGGTCGTAGTTTACCAATATAATATGATTAATATTAAAGTAAGTAGTCATCATATAACGAGTCTAATGAATCGGAATTTTTTTTTCTTGGTCCCCAAAAATAATGATATTCTCAATCAAAGTCATACAAAAAATTAAATAAAGAAGTAATAATTGAAAGAAATATTAGAGTAGACCGCCATTTTAGAAACTTATATATTTTTAATATTGATTAAATACGGTCAATAATCATTACCAAAATATACGTACATGTATATGAGTGTATCACATCAATATTCAATTAAATTCAATTTCCTTTTCTTTTTCTTTTAAAAAATTCATTTTTCTCCCCTATATTACGCAAATGAGGTATCATTTACCCCCGAGTGATGTATAGAAAACATTAGGGGGTAAATGATATATTTCGTATAGTACAGGGGTGTAAAATGAATATATTTTTCTTTTCCTCCACCCTACAAACGTACCCTAGAGAGCTATTCAAGCCGTTTTCGCTGATCAATGATCATTAGGTTTAGGGTTTTCATGGACCACCCTCCTCCATAACCGCCGCTTCCTCCTTTTCACCGCCGCCCCTACCTTCCTCGCGTGATGCCGCCCCATTCTTGTTATGATTGAAACACCGCAGCGGCGCCGCCGCCGCTGCCGCCGGCGGTGGCGGCGGCGGGGGTTTCTCAATTTTGAGGGATGCTCGTAATTCTAAGAGCTCTTTCTTCAATCTCCAATTCTCCTCGCTTAATCTTTCGCAGTTCTTCTTCAGAAACTCCTTGTCTACCTCCGTCTGCTTCAATTTTGTCCTGCATATACATACAACAAATATATATCTATATATATACATACATACATTTATTTATATTTAAAAAAATATAAAAAAAAAATAATGTATGAGAAAATTACCTAGCTCTTCTGTTCTGAAACCAAACCTCAACTTGTCTAGGTTTAAGATTCAATTTCTCTGCAAGTGCCTGTTTTTGTACCTGTCATATCCCATTTCCCGAGAGAGATTAGAGAGATTAAAGAGAGAGAGATTAAAGAGAGAGATATTAGAGAGAGAGAGAGAGATTAGAGAAAGAGAGAGAAATTAGAGAAAGAGAGAAAGATTAGAGAGATTAGCGAGAGAGGGAGAGAGAGAGAGAGGGGTTAAAGAGAGAGATTAGAGAGATAGAGAGATTAGAGAGAGAGAGAGAGAGAGAGAGAGAGAGAGAGAGAGAGAGAGAGAGAGACCGTATTAAGGGTAGTATGCTGTCTGAAACTGTCTTCAAGCAAGGTGGTCTGATCTCTATTAAGCCTCAATTTCTTCCTGCTAAAATCCATCGAACAATTCATGCTATGATCATCAATCATATCATCTTTGCCACTATCGAAAAACCCGTTATCTCTTCTCTCCTTCTTCTCGTCTTTCCCCAATACTTTCAATCTCGAGCTCGAATCTCCATTCTCGTGAATCGGGATCGAAAGATCGAGAAAAAACACTCGTTTATTTCGAGCCTTTTCTGGCGACGACGTAGTATATTCTTCATTTAATCCCAAACCAAGACCTAGGCAAACTTCATCATTTCTATTATCCATGGATAATATTATGATTATTATTGGAGTGGTAAGAGAGAGATTTCTAGTTTGGAGATTTATATACTGTCTTATTGATTTATTTATTTATATATATGTGGGTAAAAGTGGGGGGTTTTAATTAATCAGAATTTTAATTATGTATTTATTATATGTGTTGTGATTAATTATGAATGTCAAGGTGAAGGTGATGCAATAATAATGACGTGCGTTAGGAGTATGACTCCTACGAGGAAACCAAACATTTTAACTACACTTTCATCTCTTCTTTGACTTATTTATTTATTTAAATTCAATTTGAGAAATAATTTTTTGAAGGCTTTAATTAATTTAAGGAGATGAGTCTTTGTCTGCATTTAGGTAGTATTTACAAATTAGTGTTGGGGTGTAAAATTAAAGCCAGTCAAAAATAGTTAATTACAGTAGTTTTAATTATTTGTAACCTCTCAACCATTAATTCTTTAGTCTTTCTTCTCTGATTAATTAATCTTTCTTGAGGGGCAATTTTGCACGAATATGAAAAGTTTATTTCCCCTCTCTCTCTCTCTCTCTCTCTCTCTCTCATAATGTGAAATAAAATAGTTTGGAGACACAAAATTAAACAAACCGAGGATTTGAAACTCGGTTGTGCCGGGATTAAAAATGGAAAAAAAGTGTACGGAAAAAATTAATTAGGCACGAGGAATATATGTTTGGTTTCATTAACAATCTTGAGCTTCAGGGCATAAACAGTGTGCTGCCTATCTATTTTTACCGTTACCAATTAATTATCTAGCCCAAATTATTTTGCTACGTGATTGACATATATTATTATACTATATATGTGCGTGTGTGTGTGTGTTTCATAGAGGGAAATAATTTTGATTTTTAGATGTACATGTATTTGAAAAGTTTCTAGAAAATTTTGTAATACTTAAGGAGTCAATTAGTCTTTTACAATTGTAATAATATATATTGATGGCAATTAAGTATGTTTTATGTATTATTATTTGACGGTTGAAAATTGTTGTTCTGGTAGCCTAGGGGTGTAAATGAGCTGAGTCGGCTTCTGAGTTTAATGGTCGGCTCGACAAATTCTCGAACTTAAACTTGAGTTTTTCGAGCTCGAACTTTGTGAATAGCCGAGTTTGAGCCTTTTCTTAGTTGCTTGCGAGCCTACTTTTTTTTTTTTTTATTTTTTTTTTTTTTATTTTTTTTTTTATTTTTATAATATATAATAATATAAAATATAAAATTCAACACATTTCGAGTGATTGTAAATTTTGTTATCATTTTAAAAAGAAAAATGTAATTCCCAAATAAAAATAATTATTTGGGAATAAAATAAACATGTTGCCATGTTTGGTCCAATTTTAATTTCGCAAAATAAATATTATTCAAGTTTTTTTCTTTTTTTATGCTAGAAAGAGTAATTGGGCCGAATGGGCTCTTCCGGTGTAACCCCACATCTCAAATAATAATAAATAGGGAATTGGGCTGAATGGGTCATTTTATGCTAGAAAGAGTAATTGGGCTTGACCAAATTTTGTAAGGGAATTTGGTAGGATCCTGAGACTCGAATAAATAGGGAATTAGATGTTATATCTGATTAATTATATTAGGTGATTTTAATCGTAGATCTGATTAAATAATCACTCACTAAATATACACATAACGGTGTATATGCGATTAATTATGTGTAAATCTAATGTTGAAATCCACCAAGTGTAATTGACAGGTGTACCATCTAATATTCTAATTACCCTTGCTAAACAAGTAGGGAAGGATTCTGAATCAACAACACACCATGCTGGCCCGGGTGCTCAACGCGAAGTACAGTAGAACCTAGATAACTTAATAACCTCGCTTAAATAATAGTTGTTCCCGATCCCATTTAGTGACAACATTCTAAATTATTAATTCGATAATTTAAAATTTCGTCAAATTAATGGAATTTCACTAGTCTCAACTATACTAATTTATAGATATTTAACTGTATATTCCTGAATGAAATATTCTGACAGCAACTACCGTAAGGTCATCTGCAATATGGCGAAGCATAATGGAGAGGATCCCTTTTCTGAACACTGGATTTCGCATGAAAATTGGAAGTAGCGCTAGTATCATCGATTTGGGTTGATCCGTGGCTAGTTGATCACACCCCATTTTGAATTATCACTAGAAGACCGGTAAATTCAACGTTTCCGTGTATAGGATTTCAGATTCATAGACTCAACGACTTGTTTATGAAATATCCAACTTATATAGACTATTTTCACTGGTTAATCGAAAGCGTATTTTAGCAGTTCTCATAAATCGAAAGATAGGTATATCTGGCATTGCCCGAGCAATGGAAACTTTACGACAAAGCCGTGCTATCACCTTCGCACTCGATATATAGTTCTTGAAGGCGACACAACCCGATGGTCATGGAATCACCAAACAATTCGGAGGATCTTCCAACGCTACCTTATGTAGTTATGGTAGAAGAATACTTGTCCAATACTGCCTAATAATATTTATCTTTTCTTAATGGGTGCAAATTTAGATCGGATGGCCTGTTTTAATAGGAATATCGGATGCCATAAAATGATTGACACGTGGATAGTTTAAATAAAAATATAATCAGGATTCTAATAATTGAAAAAAAAAAAACCACAGCATAACCCGTAACCCCTCTAACCCTAATTATAATCAGCTTGATTTATTAAGAGTTAAACTTAAGAGTTCAACATGTCAAAAAATTAGTGGAATCCGATTTATATTAAGTATATCCACTCAGAATTTACTCAATATATGTATACATATGTATGTATATATGTGAATTCAACTTGTTCGATTTCCTCTCTATCTAGGAAGATACGAATCTTCAAATTTTATCATCGGATCTCGCCCCCCATTGACATTGACATTTCTAACGTTCTTCTAATTATAAAATCATAAACAAAAAAAAAATGTTTGAAAAACAAAAACCAAATAAAAAAATAAAAAACAAGTTGCCATTTCTTAGCTGCAAACTCTGATTTTCATATGCTTTCACAGAAATTATAACTTAAAAACCACCAACATTAACCTATTTCTTTTCCCTCACTTCGATGCACGTGATTAGCAAATGTCGATATTACCCCCACCCCCACCCCCACCTACCCACCCCACCTCTTTTCTTTCACTGACTAATATAATCTCCTCTACATATAGTCTTGTTCACATAACCATTAGTTTCTCTCTCTAAATCTCTCTGCAACTTTTTCTTCTTCTTTCTCTCTCTAAAACAAAAACGATGATTACAGGTAAAGATATATACGATGTACTAGCAGCAATAGTCCCGCTGTACGTGGCGATGATCCTCGCGTACGGCTCGGTCCGGTGGTGGAAGATCTTCACACCGGACCAATGCTCCGGCATCAACCGCTTCGTGGCGGTGTTCGCCGTCCCACTCCTAGGGTTCCACTTCATCTCCTCCAACAACATCTACGCCATGAACTACCACTTCATCGCCGCCGACTCCCTCCAGAAGGTCGTCATCCTCGCCGCCCTCTTCCTCTGGCAGGCCTTCTCCACCCGGTCCGGCGCCGCCGCCGTCTCCTCCGACTGGATGATCACCCTCTTCTCGTTATCCACCCTCCCCAACACCCTAGTCATGGGCATCCCGCTCCTCCGCGCCATGTACGGCGACTTCTCCGGCGACCTCATGGTGCAGATCGTCGTCATGCAGAGCGTCGTGTGGTACACGCTCATGCTGTTCATGTTCGAGTACCGGGGGGCCAAGCTACTCATCACCGACCAGTTTCCGGAGACCGCCGCCTCCATCACCTCCTTCAAGGTTGACTCCGACGTCCTCTCCCTCAACGGCCGGGAGCCACTCCAGGCCGACGCTGAGATCGGCGACGACGGAAAACTCCACGTCGTCGTGAAGAGGTCCACGTCAGCATCGATGATATCCTCCTACAACCACCACAACAAGGGTTTGAACTCCAGCGCGATTACTCCGAGGGCTTCGAATCTCACCGGGGTCGAGATTTACTCCGTCCAGTCTTCGCGTGAGCCGACGCCACGCGCCTCCAGCTTCAACCAGACGGATTTCTACGCCATGTTTGCCGGTAACAACAAAACCGCCAGCCCGAAGCATGGGTACACGAACAGCTACGGCGGAGGGGATGTTTTCTCGTTGCAGTCGTCGAAGGGGGTCACCCCCCGCACGTCGAATTTCGACGAGGAAATGATGAAGATGGGGAAGAAGAGGAGCGGCGGCGGCGGTGGTGGTGGTGGTGGTAATAATAATAATATCAATACTGGGAGGAGTATGAGTGGTGAGCTTTTTCAGCATTCGTATCCTCCCCCGAATCCCATGTTCTCCGGTGGTGGCCCGAGGAGGAAGGAAAGTGGCAGCAGCGGCGGCGGTGGTGGTGGCAATGCCAACGGCAGCATTGTTAGTGGTGGTGGTAGTGGGAATAGCAATAATCCGAATAAAGAACTGCACATGTTTGTTTGGAGCTCGAGCGCTTCGCCCGTGTCCGAAGCAAATATGAGAAATGCCGTTAACAAAGCCGCCTCCGGTGATTTTGCTAGCACCATTGACGCTCCGTCAAGAGGTATATATATATACAGTAGAACCTCGATAAATTAATAATTTCGCTTAAATAATAATTTATTTCGGTCCCAACTCGGTAAAAACGTATCAGATTATTTGTTCGATAAATTAATATTTCGCTAAATTAATAGAATTTCGCTAGTTCTGACTGTATTAATTTACGATTTATTTATTTTTAATATTTTGATAGAGAATGGAAGTCCAGTTGGGAAAATGAAAACGGGAGACGAAAAGGAGACTGAGATTGAGAATGTAGCGTCGAAGTTTCCGGCGAACGCGTCGCCGTATAATAATACATGCCAGAAGAAGATGGAGATGGATCCGGAGGAAGGTGGTGAGATGATGGGTAAAAAGACACAAATGCCCCCAGCAAGTGTTATGACTAGGCTTATACTAATCATGGTTTGGAGGAAGCTCATTAGGAACCCTAATACTTATTCCAGTCTTATTGGCCTTATTTGGTCTCTTGTATCATTCAGGTAATTAAAATTTAAAATATTTCTTATTTTTTTATTATTTTATTTTTTTATTTTTTTTGTCTTTAATTACAATATTCTTAAATATTTCATTTAATATTTATATATAAATATGATGTACATGCAGGTGGAATATCGAGATGCCTTCGATCGTGAAAGGGTCGATATCGATTTTGTCCGATGCAGGTCTTGGCATGGCCATGTTTAGTCTAGGTAATTAATTAATCTTCTTAATTAGGAATTAAATTCATGAAAATTTATTGAGATTATAGTTTTATTATTCCAATTATATATTTTTATTTAATTTCTTTTTGGGCAGGTTTATTCATGGCTTTGCAGCCGAAAATCATAGCTTGCGGAAAATCGGTGGCGACGTTTTCGATGGCGGTTAGGTTCTTGACAGGGCCAGCTGTCATCGCCGCAACCTCCATCGCAATCGGCCTCCGAGGAGTTCTCCTGCACATAGCAATTGTTCAGGTCCAAAAAATATAAATAAATAAAAAAATAATCTTGAATTTTAAATTAATTAATATATGAAGTAAATAAATAATATATATACTTATTTAATTTCATTGGCAAAAACAGGCTGCTCTTCCACAGGGAATTGTCCCCTTTGTGTTTGCTAAAGAATACAATGTTCATCCAGACATACTCAGCACTGCGTAAGCTTAACTTTTTTCACACACAAACACATGTTTTCACCTACTATATGTATATATATATATATATATATATATATATATATATATCATCCATTAATTAATTACATTGTGTTTTATTTCTTGGTATATATATAGGGTTATTTTCGGGATGCTGATAGCTTTGCCCATAACAATTCTGTACTATGTGCTACTTGGGCTGTAAGGTTCTGTTTGGCGTAGCAGAATAGAAAAGTGGAAAATTGAAATTTGCTGAATTCAAGAAGAAGAAGGGATGGATTAATTAATCAATACCATGGAGTAAACTGAAGATAATGCATTCATGCATGCAGGATAATTAATATATTAATTAAATTAAATTATTATTTTTTCCACGTTGGAGTCAGTGTACAACTTGGAAATTAAAACCATATGCTACCTGCATGCATGCATGTGGCTCTTTGTTTGAGCTTTACTATACAAAATTTCATTTCAATATTAATTAATTCCTTGTCTTTAATTTCCTTGTAATTTTATTTATTTTTATTTTTATTTTCTTAGACAGTTTAGAAAATTTAGTACAATTTTCTAGAGGAATATTAAAGCAGATCTTAGTGTTTTTTCTCCCTTGTATTACATTGTTTTATTAATTTAATTATTTTTGTTATTATATTTCGACAATTTACTGCTGAGCTGGATGGATTAATTAAGAATCTAATTACAGTTAACTCAGGTAGACAGAGAAATCTAATCTCCGACAGGATGCAAAAAGATACTCTTTTGAATTATTCTTGTCTTTGATTATTTTTTTTAATTTAATTTAATGACAAGATCTTGTTACGCGGAAGTCAAACAAGAAAAAACTTGAGTTGAACGTGATTTGAATCGATTTTTAGTTAAGCTTTTAGTGGTTAAAAAGAACTAATAAGATATTTAAGAGTTTATAAGCTCTGTTACAGGGCCGTTCCTGGGAATTCGGGGGCCCTAGGCGAGGTTTAAAGAACAGCTGAAAACAGGGACCCCAATCTGATGAACCATTTTTTTTTATTAATATGTGTTCGAAATTGAATGTAGTAAAAAAAAAAATTATATTGTTTTTTCTAAAAATGAAGAAAATAAAGATTCTGGGGGTTCGAGAGCAGTGCCCCCGAAATATTTTTTTTAAATGTATGAATATAAAGTAACAAAAAATATGGACAAAAATTCAAAATTAACAATATGATTTGCTGTTTCACTTCCTCCCGTGATGTATAATTTTTATAGCAATAGACTTCAAAATATTTATAAACTTGAATACACTAATAAATATTGATTCTTATTTTAGAATAAAAATAAGTAATTCAGACATTATAAATTAATATTTAGGGGCCCAAGATTAAGAAATTTTCAAAAATATCTATTGATCATTTAGTTTAAATTTATTTTAGAACCGATGTTCCAAAATATTATATATAATAAATTTTTAAAAATAATTACTAATACATAAAGTGTATATAAAATAATTTGGGGGTCCCAAATTTTCGAAAAAAATCGGGGGCCCTAGGCGACCGCCTACTTCGCCTCCCCTCAGAACCGACCCTGCTCTGTTAAAGTGTGACAAATTTTGTTTTTAATTATCTTAATTTTTTTAAAAATAAGCTGCTAAAAATCGAGCAAATGATATGTTTTTCAAAAAGTACTTATAGCCCATCTTTTATTTAATATTTTATAATGAGTAAAAATTACTTATAAAATCACTATTCAAAATTTTAAAAATTAATTTTAAAATTAAGACGTAACAACTTATTAACTCTTAAAATAACTTATCAGTCAAACTGCTGATTCAAATTGTTTATTGTAGATTATCACAAATTATATTTTTGTGTCTGACAAGTTTAAGTCATGAGTGACGTGGAATGAACCAAATTATTAAACTTCTCGCATGTGGATGCTTTAGATGTATATAAATTAAACTTGAAACTAATTGTGCTTTGGGAAAAGATAACCTTCAATTTTCCACGCATTCTTCCAACAAAAAAATTGTCTAAATAAAAATTAATTTATTTTAATGCAAATTGATTTATTAAAATCGATATAGCATGTGACACATGACATTATTGTGTAACAAGGGGGGCAAAAGAACACTTTGTCATTTGATTCTTTGAGAGTTTTTTTTTTTTTTTTTCTTCTTTTTTCTGATCTAGCATGTTACAAGTATAGTAAATGTTCAAAATATGTACTTATTTGATTTTTCTAATGGTAACATACTAAAACGTATTTTCATTTTCATATTACGTATATTCCATGTCAACTTACAAACGCGATTCTCGAACGACCTGTCATCTGTCCTGAGTGACCCCACATTAAATTTAGTAATATAGTATTTAGAATAAATATTTAACGTTATTAACTTTAATTTCAAAAGTTCATATTCGACGACCGTAACAAATCAGTCAAATCGTACGATTTTTCTTTTCTTTTTTAGCTAGAAGTTAATTATAATATAAATTTAACACAACATAGTGTAATGAAATCAAGTTATAAAATGCGTAGCACATTTTTGTAGGTCCATGTCAATGCCCTATTTCTATCAACCCAAAAATTCCACTGGTTCATATTTGCATTAGAGTTTAAGATGTATTTATAAAGGTAAATTACGTTCATATCTTGAGGTAACGTCAAATTACGGAAAAATCTCTAATGTTTGGGTAATTACAACTATCTCTCAACTATGAATTTTCTTACACGTACAACTTTACGGTGTCAAATTTAACATAATCTGCTAGATTTCGTGGAATGTTCTCTTGTTTGTACTCGTTTTGTGCAAAAAATGCAGTTTCTGATGCACCACAATTTGAAATTTACAAGTCAAAATACACAATTATATTTATGATCATCTTGAATCAAAATGTGGAGCTCGAGTTGGATTAAACGGGTACAAATTAAGGAATATTCCACATAATCTAGAAGATTCCACTAAATTTGACACCGCATGGGGGTGGTTAGTAATTACCCAAACATGAGGGATTTTTTCGTAATTTAACCTTGCCTCATTGGGTTACCGTAATTGACCCTTTTTATAATAAACCAAAGGTCCAAAACTAACATTTATGTGTTACTGCAGGATTCAATTATAAAAATTACCGATGAAGAGTGCAAATCCAGATACACCAAATTAATAAAAAAAAAAATAATATGACCGCCAACAGAAGGCCATAGTGGATGGAGCAAAAAAGTCAATTGACCTAAATTCAAATCTTCCGACAACATTTACTAAGTAGAGAGAGTGAAAGTTTTACCAAGTAGACATTGTACACCTATATATGGATAGATGCAGGTTTCTCTATTAAAAAAAATACTAAAATCTTTAACAGAGAACCAAAGTTAAGCAATAATATATACATTATACACTAATCAATTGAACTAATAAAATTTTCATTACTCAGCATTTACAAGCCCTTCTTAACGTGATCAACCAAATGAGAAGAAAAAAAAAACAAAAAACTAATATCGAATATCGAATATCGAATTTTGCCTTTAGGGTATCAATATATTAAACACTAAATACTAAATAGTGCCAAAGAACCAAGAGAATCAACTAAAAAAAACCAGACTCAAAATTGGAACTCGGTAAAAAAAGGAAGGCAGCAGAGTTAGAGAGTAAAAAGGAGCCTTTTCACCAGAGTCGATATAGTTACGGTCTCTGCTCTTCCAGCGTGTTATCCACCACCTCCACGTGGACATCACCACCATCTTCCTTGCCTAGCTTAGATTTCGATAATGGAAGTGTAGATTGCCTCGAAGATGCCTTTGCGGATTGCTGTCTCGACTGCAAGTTGAGGTACGTGTAGTAAGACATTCCCGTAAGAGCAATGGCTGCTCCCAAAATGCTCGTGGGTCCCGGATTTGAACCAAACAGAACAAACCCTCCGAGAAGAATTACACATGTTTTGAACTGTCCAAGAACTACATGTGTCGTGGCCGAGGTTGCCCTAAGAATGAGAAAGAAGAGTTTAATGCATTTCTAATAATACGAAAAGAAACTTCAAAAGATTAGCTTCAACGGGACAAAGACGAAGAATTTGGAGATCAAGAACAACTTTTTTTACGTCGACCCTTTTGGTGTTTTTTAATTATATTGAATAATCGGAAAAGGGGTTTTATCAGAGGAAATAATATAGCTACTTAAAGGCGAATCAAGAACGGAAAAAACGAAGATAAGGGCAGAGAAAAAACTACCCAAGAGCAAGAGCACCGGACCACTGAAGCAAGAAACCGAGAATAGCCGAGCCACCGATAATCGCAGAGTTATAAACATTCCAATCGAAAGAAAACACACCAGGTGGGTCCAGTGATGGCATTAGCATCACCAGAAAGAACAGAGTAATAGGTGTCGTTTTCCACATTAGCCTGACACAATACGACATGTAAGAACTCCAATCTTGAAAATTTTATGTTTTCACGAAAAAAAAATATATTTAAAAAATTAACCCGACTTACGCTAGGGCGCTCCAGTTGTCTTGTTGTTGGAGATTAGACCACAGTATTTTATTAACTGCACTTGGTACGATCCATGCTACTGCTATGCAAGCACCGAAGAAATGAAACTGAAGATCTGTTACTGTAGCAACGGCAACACCGATTGATACTACAGTAAGTGCAAGCACCTACAAAAATCATAAAAATTTACGCAAGGATTCCCAAATACTTAATGCCTTATTTGGTTGGTAAAGATAGGCCACGATTAATTAAATAATCAGGTCTTATTTCATGTTTGGTTAGCACTGACAATGGAAAAATGAGCATTTATCTTGGCCTATGTTTGTTTCATATTTCAAATTCTTTTCACTCTTTCCCCGAAATGAATTTTACCTTTATACAAAAATTCAGAAACTTTCCCCCCCAAAAAAATTCAGAAGTTTCGCTCTGTTACAAACATGATTTGACTGCTGCCAGTAAAAATTGTATTCACTAAAGTACAAATCAAAATCACTCTACCTTTGAAATTATTCTTCCAAAATACATTTTTTCAACACCTTTTAGACATGCGTTTAATTACTACGGTATAAACTGTCTCTTCTCAAAACACAAACGAACTTTATTTTATTTTCAAATTCTTCTCCGAAAAAATATTTCCCCAAAATAAAATGGAAACAGATGCCCAAAAGCTTCCCAAATTCCAATATTTGCCAATGATGACGAATGCTGTAAGTTTTGGTTTGAAGCGACTACAATAAATTAATCATTCACAACGAAAAGAAAAATGAAATGAAAATGATGAATCCAACTAATTAATATATATTTAGAGATATAGATACCTTTTGAGTCGAAATTCTTTTCCTGAAGAGCACGAACTCAGCTAAAACAATAGCTGGGGTCACTGCAATCTTAGCCATCTGATAAAATCCAACACTGAAAAAAACATGTCTTCCCAATATGAGAGGTAAATAAAAAAAAAAAAAGAAAAAAAGAAAAAAGAAAGAAGAATAAGAAGGCTCACAAGCAAAATTAATAGGGAAGAAATAACGCGTCACCTGTTATATTTCAAGCTAACATTCGCAAGACCGGTGGAAAGAGACATAACTATACCAAGAGACAACAAGGAAGAATATTTCGTTGACTTTGACGGAGCAGACAGAGATAGAATCGACAGAGTTTTTAAAATCGCCATTATTAACCAACTAACTACATAGTGAATAAAACTCAAGAAAATCGGATAATTAAATCCAGTGTTGACAAGTACCTGAACAAAACCAAAAAATAAAAGATGTAATTAAGAGCCTTCAATTTTTTTGCGTAATAATTTGCACAAAGCACGAGGCTTGAGAAAGAGAAACGTGGCTTACCAATTTGTTCATCAAGATAATACTAATAGAAGCCAAAAAATTAAATGTAAGAGCAACAGTGGGCCCCCATAGTGATTGTTGCGGGCGTTTGGCCCCACCGATCGAACGCAATTTACTAAACATGGAAGAGCGTAATTCCTCCAAAGCTCTACCTTAAAAAGAGAAAGGAAATAGTTAAGCAAGGTAATGGATAATCAAACAGATTATTATTACAATAGCTAGCCATAACTTAACGATTATATCTCTATCAATACATTATTATTACAATGCCTTTTTGTATCTCGTTCTCTGCGTATAGTTAAGCCATGTCCCACACAGGTGAAATATCACTTTTCGGCCAAATAAATGTTCTGGGTAACTTTTGCAACTGTATCATAACTTGCCTATTTATGTATTTCGTCGTTGGACGATTTTTGGAGGTTATTATATGGTAACAGAAATTAGTATTGCCACCCTAATGCAAGAAATAACTTTCTAGTTACATCACGAGATCTTAGAGTTACCGACTCATTTCTCATTCACATGCCTAAGTTTCTAAACGTTACGAACTCAATTCTTGTGAATCGAAATACCACGAAATAATGAATAAGAGCAACCAAAAAAAAACAACTAGAGCCAGTTTTTCTAGGTCAGATTCATAAAACGAATATCAAACGTCTCAAATTGGTGTGCGCGTTAAACCGACGAATTTATGGAATTACTAAAATCGATAATACTCTATTAGTTGAGAGAATGTTTCTTGTAAATGGGATATAATTTTTTAAAGAAAAAATTAAATTCACTCAAAATACTGACATTCCCCACCGGATCTTATGACTTGACTTGAGCTCTCTTCTTATCCACTTTAATACTTACTGATTTTACAATTAGAGCTTTTACAGTAATTACTGCTCAGCATTTTATAGATAAATTTAACAGGAAGGTGGCACACATTTCTGTTGTGAATTTCTGGTATATCAATTAAAAATCCAGTCTTGCAAACCAAATTTAAATCCCAGGTTAACAATTAAACCGAACATATATATAGCAGAAATCACTTCCATTAAGTAGAGCTCTGACCAAGGAAAGCATTTCAAAAATTTACTACCACAGAAAGCAATACTCCCATTAAAGAAGCGTGAATCCACAGTAACGCGTAAAAAAAGGGGAAGAGAGAGAGAGAGAGAGAGAGAGGAACCTCTTTCGCCGGCGTCACTGTCTTTGCGCTTGAGTATTTTCCTGACATCTTTTCTGGAGAAAAAGCTCAACATCTCTTTCAGTTGTGGTGAGGCTGATTTTGATGCATTCAGTCGAACAGGTGGGGGGTGTGTTTTTGTGCGTGTTGATTGAGGTGAAGTGGGTGACACTGACACACACACACTCACTCCGGCACAAAGAACAAAATGCACATTTATGGGATGTGTATGTATTTCCTGCAAGAAAACGTAAGACAAAATTCTCTTGTAATCCGCAGATTTAGAGAGAGAAACTGTGTGTGTGTGTGAGAGAGATGGAGAGAGAGAGAGAGAGAGAGAGAGGATTTTGCGGCGAGATTGAGAGAGAGAATGAAAGGAAAGTATAGGGCCCGTTTGGGAGGGGATTTTAAAAATAAAAAAAAAATATTTATGGGCCCTTTAAATATTCCCAAATTTATAAGTTAATTACTTTATCATAAATATTTTTAAGAAAATATTACTTTATGATCTAAATATACAAGTTTTAATACATTTACGCGTTGCCTGAAGGTGGCCTTATTAGTGAAATAGAAAATTGCGACGTCTAATAATGATATTTTGATTTCTCCTGCCAACACAAATGAAGAAGTGTTGAACTCGTTCGTGGTTTATTCAGTGCACATATGAGATTGTCTGTTTAATAAGATTGATAGAAAGTTAAAATACATCTTATGAGATTAAAAAAAGTTTTTATTTTATTTTGTTTTTGTTGGAAAAAAAATTATTAGTAGTAAGAGACAATGGTCATCAACAAGACATGTGAAATGATGAAGTAGGGAGGGGACCGAGGAAACCGGTCACGCTTGGTTTTATGGGATTTCACAACCCTATATATTTTATGGCTTTCAACTTTCAACTTTCAACTTAAAACAAATAAAATATAATAAAAAAAGGTTAAATTCAAATTGCACCCATGTTCTATCACCATTGTCGCATATATCCCCGTACGATAAACTATCACAAAGTGGCCCTTTAATTTAACGTTCAGCCTTCAAATCTCTAATATCGTTAGTTTATGAAGCATAGTTATATTTTTACCCTTATATTTATATGATATAAATAGACATTTTTTGACTTTATTACTTGACCAACTTTGTTACTTTATTACGTAGCACTCTGATTGCATCGTCGGTTGTAGAAAAATATGTCATGTAGTATTTGGACGTAAAATGAAAAAAAAAAAAAAATTGAGAGTAAATTGAGTACAAGAGAGAAAGAAAGAACACATGTTATACACAACCAGGGAGGTATTTTCGTCCGAAGTTGTCCAGCATCTAGTGCAATAGTCGATCAAGTTTCATAAGGGGTGGATTCTTCTAGAGGGGTACTTTCGTCCGGAGTTGTCCAATATCTAGTGTAATGGTCTCAACTTTCAAAAGGGATGGATTTTTAATATGGCTTGACGGAAAGGGTCTTATTGTCACATTTTGTAGTATATGGAGTATATGCGATAATAGTGATAGTACATGGGTGCAGTTCGTATTTAACCAAAAATAAAATTCAACTTTAACGGTCACTTTTTTCTTGCCCTTCATTTTTTTTCGCCCATTTCTCCTAGGTCCCTACATCAATATTTTGCCCCCCTTTTCTATGACCAGACACATTAAAGATTTTGCCTTCTTATATTATAATTATTAATTAAACAATATGAATCAATTTGCTCACAAGATTTTGAACAATATTCAAAATTTAAATTTTTTAAATGAGCATATTCAAAAAATTAAATTGGCAATGCTTCGACGCAAATTGTTGTACTCCTACCCGTCTCGTATCCACTTTAAATATAAATATCGTCATTATTCAGTAATACCAAACGAGGCCTCAGTGTGTATACATTTCCGTCGCATACGAGCACACATTTTCACTTGCGTCGCCGAAATTTTTTTCCACTTTTATCAAAATTCGAATCTTTCTACAAAAAAACAATTTATGTTCCTATAAATACATAGTCCCAAGTGGCATTGACTTCTATTTTCAAATCTCTCTCTATAAACCCAATAATATTTTCTTTTTTTCTTTAAAAAAAATAATAAAATAAAATAAAATAAATAAATAAAAAACTAACTAGTTTGTGTAGCAACCAAAGAGGTGTATATAAGTTCATTCCAAGCATCAGGTACACCAGGCAGACACCAGTGGCTACAATCTTGTCTTCGTGTAGACACCTTCTTCAGAAGAGTCACATTCTTACCGTAAACCGAAGGGTGCCCATCTTTTCGGTAATTAGTTAACCGTGTCACGTTCAATAAAACAACCGGCACCTTCGTTTCTCTAAGAACTTGCTCAACAATCCTCATCTTTTCTGGATAACTGTCAATAATCGGCCCTCGAATTACAGGTTCTTTCTCACCGTTACACGATCCTCCAGAATCCCAATCTCCCCCTCTATCATCATATGTATATACAATTAAACCATTTTGTATTAAAATATGAAGTCCCAAAAATCGGAAAAAAAAAAAAAAAAAAAAAAAAAAAAAAAAAACCCGATACCTAAAATGAGCAGACGAGTAGCCACGATAAAACACCAACTTGTCCTTTTTTATGTTTCGTTTGATCCACATGGCCCAAGTCTTGATTGCTCTTCTATATGCTTCCACAGCATCAAACTTAGGGTAGATAAAGTTACCTTCTTTGTAGTAATTTTTACTGCATCAAAACTTTATAATTACTTACACGAAAATTTGGAACATAAATACGAACACACACACACACACACATTACCCTTTAGAAGTCTTGCCATGTGTCCACCAATGGGCAGTGTTGAAAACAAGAATATCAGCTCTCAGCCATCTTCGAGCTGTCTTGTCGATTCGGTCGATCGATAAAGTGGGATTCGAATTTCCTTGTGCGTTTACACGAATCCCTTCTCGAACGAGGAAATGGGATCGGATAAATTCCACAGTGCAGTCGTAATCCTGCATGATTTTTTTTTTTATTTTTTTCAAATTATTAAAATGAAAAGACTATGATTTTATATTCTCTTTGTAGTTAGCTCCTCGGTGAGAAAGATACCTCGATCTTGAAAACGTAGTAGCCTCTTCCTTTGGTAATTTTATAGCCATGGACTTCGTACATTTTGCTCTTGTCGGGTAAACCTTCACGAAGAAGGCACAGTAAAGATTCGAACTGGTTTCGATTCATAGAGTCTCCTACGAGCATAAGCCGTTTTCCTCTCAGTCTCACCAAAAAGTCCGTTGCATTAAACCTACACAAACACACACAGGCTCAAAAATAAATAAATTAAATCCAGCAAGACTAACATGATCAAGAATGTTATTCACTGCGATTTCTTGAAATTAGAGAGACTTCAACCACAAGTTAGATCATGCGTTGTTGTCCGAATTCCGTACTCACGAATTCATCCGGGAAATTGTCTCTTTATAAATTACATTTGACTTAGAAATTTCACGATACACTAAAATTAACATGAAGCAAAATGATCAAAGATTCTAGTACTCCATTCAATCTAAATGTATACATCTTACATCGGCTATTCCAACTTAACTAAAACTGCAAAGTGAAAGGTGATCCATTGCATTTAATTTTTCGGACAGGTTTACTTCATCGGGACTCTATCTAAGAAGATAACATTCGACACAAATGTCTAGTTTCATTATCTAGGATAGGCAATTAAAGAAAGTCAACATGGCCATATAATTAAGACAACACCCAAAACCACTACTTAATTAAGCAAAGTCACCATATTAAATGCAAGCAAAGATATGATCAAGAATTTATATATATCACATAGATAATCACAATTAATTCTTAATCCCCATAAAAAAAAAAAACAAGAATTAACAGATTTAGGTAATGATCTTCAAACCTAGGAAGATCACAGTCATCTGGTTGCCATCTCCATTTCAGATAGTCGGAATCGGGCCTTCCGTTTCCCTGACAGTCGAAACCGTCGTCTACGTACGGGCAAGAACCCGGTTGGTAATGCGGGTAGACATCATCTCGAACCCATTTTCCCTTGTAAACATCACAATTCCTCAATTTCTCCATTACCGCAGTGTCGATGAAAATTCCTGGTTTCGCCCTGGTTTTGTCGTCAAGATCGGATTTTGACCATACGGGCAATGTCGTTTCATCTTCCGACGAGGTGGGCTCGCCGGTAATTTCTCCGGAATCGTCCTCGGAGTCGGGCTCTGACGAAACCAAGATCGATTTTTTGTCATCAAGATCGGATTTTGATGATATGGGCAGTGTTGTTTCATCATCCACCGACACGGGCTCGCCGGTTATTTCGCCGGAATCGTCCCCGGAGTCAGGCTCCGATGAAACCAACGGCGCCGTGGTTTTTACAGCATTTTTGTCATCAAGATCGGATTTTGATGAGATGGGCAGTGTTGTTTCATCATCCACCGACGCGGGCTCGCCGGTAATTTCACCGGAATCGTCCTCAAACTCAGGCTCCGATGAAACGGCCGGCGGCGTTGTTTCTCTAACCTCGGGCTCAGACAATTTTGACGATGCTGTAATATCGCCGCCAACATTATCACCGACGGGATCGGACACTTGCGAAGAAACAGCAGGTGGTCTTAATCTCAAACCATCGGCATTTTCATGAAACTGAGTGGATCTAGGAGGAGGAGAGAGAAGGAGGAGGGGGGCAGGGGTTAGAGAGATGAGATCTCCGTAAAATAAGGGTTTGGATTCAAAAGCTCGTTTGATGAAGAGGAATAAGCAGAAGAGGGAAAGAAGAAATACAGAGAGAAGTTTGAATCGGTTTCTGTTTTTGGGAATGGTGGAAGAAGTTGCCATATGTGGAAGAAACGCATGTTCTTCTTTCTTGTTTTTTTCTAACAAGGTAAAGGGGGCTAAAATGGAAGCCTTGTTTGCATTTTTCACCTACCTCTTTGAATCGAAAAATGGAACGAAATTTCTGAATTTCGCTGATTTTGATTCGATCATTTTTTCGATTTTGAAATAACTTTTTTTATTTTGATTTGTAATTTTTTTGATTTTTTTCGGGCTTTTTGGAATGAAAATTGAAATGCGCAATTAAATTAGGGTTTTTGACCAGATATTAATTTTCGAAAGCTACACTTGTAATAACAATATGATTATTTAATCAATACAATTTGAAGGATTTTGTATGTTCATCGATTAGGGTTTGACCGAAGAACTTTATAAGTTTGCAAAATTGAAGATACAGATTATGAAATTGAATTTCAATTGTTTGTGGAAAAATATCAATTGGTGGAAATCTACCACTGATAAAGGAAATAAATGTTGTGTATGGTTTTACTATTTTGTACTAATGGAATACATTAGGTTAGGGTTTTCGATTTGATTTTGATTTTCGGAAGTTATACTTATACTAACAATATTATTATTTACTATTTTGTACTATAGGTGATAAAAAAAATAGAATTTTCAATTTCTGTCGATTTATTCAAAATATTCTAACTTTAGAATATGTTATTACATTTCAATTTCCGAAACTGTAATGTTTGAGATTATTTTTTGGGAATGTAACTGAAATCAACTTTAATTTTCGCCGATGAAAAAAGTTTGGATTTTTTTGAAATTGTTAATGGCTGCGGCTATATGCAAGACTTAAACCACTTGTGCAAGACCAAATTAAAGAAAGATTCCAAAAGATTCCATTTTATTAAGATGAAATGACAAATATACCCATAAATTAAATGGCTTTTATTTGCTCATGCAAGACCAAATAACAAATAATAATAAAATATGAAACAACTAAATTTCGACATTACGGTGTCGAATAAATATCCATAAATTCGACACCTTAATGTCGAAATTTAGTATATTTGGACTAATTTGCTAATAGTAAATTTCGACACTAAGGTGTCGATATTTTACTCCAAAATCGACATCTCAATGTCGATTTTTACCTATAAAATTCGACATGTACATGTCGACTATGTGTGCGCGGGATTTTTTTTTTTAAAAAAATATGAAACAACTAAATTTCGACATTAAGGTGTCGAATATATGTCCATAAATTCGACACCTTAATGTCGAAATTTAGTATATTTGGACTACTTTGCTAACAGTTAAATTTCGACACTAAGGTGTCGATTTTTTACTAGAAAAATCGACATCTCAATGTCGATTTTTGCCTATAAAATTCGACATGTACATGTCGACTGTGTCTGCACGGGATTTTTTTTTTTTTGGAAAAACGATATTCTAGCTAAAAAAACACATAAATGCATATTTTCTTGGGTTTTTCCACCGTAGATTCTTCTATTTTGATGTCTTCTGACTCAATACTTACCATCTTTGTAAGATTTGTTGAGTTTTGATGATTTTGAATGTTTAGGTTTTGTGGGTTTGTAGATGAGGAAGGAGAAAAGGTTTTGATGGAGAAGATGAGAGTTGGTCTTGTGGTTTTGTAATAGGGTTTTTTTTTTTGTTTTTGAGTTTTTGGTATTGCACATTTTGAATTTTCTATTTTTTTTAACAAGTAAGGGTATTATAGTATTTATACATTAAAAAAATTAATTTGGTCTTGCACAAGTGGTTTAAGTCTTGCATATAGCCGCAGCCATTGTTAATTTCAGTTTTTGGCCCCTATTCACATGAGAACTTTTATGAATTCTTAATTAAGAATCAAAAATACTAAACGGGACGGCTATTTCAAAGACCATTTTTTTCTCGGTTACAAGACCACCTCAATATTTGATTAGTTTAATGCTAAATGTACCACAATTTTTTTAGTTTAATACCACGAAGAAGAAGAAGGGTTTGTCGGTTTTGACGTGTGGTCTTAAATAAAGGAAATATATTTTGTTTTTTTTATTTTTTTTCTTAATTTTCATTAAGAGTATTAATGTCATTTCTTTTCATTTTCTTTGGTGGTATTAAAATGAGAAAAATATCCTCAAAACAAATGAAAAAAATATGATGTTCAAAATAGTGGCCTCCAATATTAAAAGAAAAAAAACAATGTGATGTTTAAGATTGATACCTCGGCCCACTTAAAAAATGTATCAAACCCATGGCCTTATAAGAGTGGGCGGGCCCATAAGATTGAGTTATTATTAATTCCGGTAAATTACGGTCAACCTCCCGAGTTAAAGTCAAATTACGAGAAAAAAAACTATCATGTTTGAGTAATTACAACTATACATCAGCTATAAATCTTTTTACACGTCACCCTTGTACTGTCAAATTTAGTTAAATCTTCTAGATTATATAGAATATCCTCCAATTTGTACCCATTTTAGTTTTTACCACATTCGAGTTCCACATTTAAAAAAAAAGAAAAAGATGATCATAAAATGTGTTTCTTGGCTTGAAAATATCAGATTGTAGTGCATCAGAAACTACATTTTTGCACAAAACAAGTACAAACTAGAGAATATTCCACTGAATCTAGAAGATTTTGTTGAATTTGACAGAGTAACATAGTTGGTGGGGTAATTATAATAACCCAAACATAATAGATTTTTTCGTAATTTAAACTTAGATAGTAAGTGGCCGTAATTTATCATATTACTTATATTACACGACCGCTAGTCTTTGATCATTTTGACACAATCTCAGATCTGGTTTTGCAATTATTTATTGAATAATAATTAGCTAATTTCAGGCATTGTATATAATTAAAATTTGGATATAGATTCCGTAATTTTAACAATTTGAAAAGTCACAAACTAAATTAGGACTAATTTAAATTATGTGTTTGTATCGACTAAATGAAGAACTACATGTGTGTCCTGATTCATGTATATGTGTTGGCCACTGTTCATTTCATGATAAAAAAAAACATTATATTTCAAAAAACTTTGGGTTTGCCGACACAAAGTTGAATGGACAAATATATTTAATATGTAGCTCTTTTATTATATAGACAAAATTAATTGAGTTCGTCACTTTTGTCCATTTTACATATATTAGACATATTACATTATTATGTATATATAGAGCATCTCAAGGGGCATTTTTGTTAAATACGCATTGAAGTTTTGACATTTTGCTAAAAGTTCTCGATCTATTCACGTGATCTTCTCCATCACTAGCTCTATCCGTGTTTGTTGCAATCTTTCGTACCCCTTCAAATCTGCTCCACTCTCACTCTTCGTTTTTATCATCGTCGAAATTCTTCCATACACCGTCACGCAAACAACACCCATATAGTGACACACACGCACACACAATCGTACACATTCACACAGAATAGTCGTTTGGAAAACCAGAACTACTTATTTTGTAAATGCACTTGTGGACAAATATGAACAGTAGTTGTTAGTTCACTTTGTTTAGCTACATAATTTAGGGGATATATAACTGTGAATATGTAGTATCCTATAATATAAAACCACTGAACACAATTGAGTTTCATAACTAAGCTCTCCTTGTATTCTTCACTGTATATTTTTCATGCGTGTATACTTCTCCGTCTAAAGTTTGTAAATAACATCTCCATGTACTCTCCACTGTATACGTGGAATGCATCTATTCATATACTGATAACAGCTAGTCTAAGCTCTCTAATTAAGATATCTGGTGTCCTCCGTCTAAGTTATATGGTTTGGTCCATTTGAACTTTATATACTATTATGTGTGTATATTTATGTAATGCTAACTTCCCTCAACTTATTTTATACCTACCCACCAAACTTTGTATGGTCAATTTTCTTGTTAAGTTATAAGCAATATTTTGACCTCTCTTTTTTATGGTATGCATTCGAATATGCT